CTGTACTCACAGAGAAGACCTAGAATAAACTCCAGGCGCCTGGCTTTGGCCTGGCCCAGTGCTGCCCCAGCTGTTAGAGCTGTGTGAGGAGCGAACAAGCACACGGAAACCTCTGCAGCTGGCTGTCCATCTTGCTCTGACTTTGCTTCTTAAATGTATAAATAAACTGGGCACAGTGCAGTAGCCAAGTAGCTAAAGTCCTTGCTGTGAACACACCGGGATCCCATATGGACACCGGTTTTTTTTGTGGTTTTTTTTTTTTTTTTTAGTTATTATAATTGTCATTTTATGGTACAATTCCATAGGCCCTGGGATTTCACTTATACACTCCCCAATTCCGTCCCCTCTTACAGGTTTCCCAGGATTATTTCTATAGTATAGTTCTTCATACACAGTCACATGTCCATTATTGCAGGCATTAACAAGTGCAGCGAGTCCAGCAAATTATTGTCAAGATATAGTTAACAGTTTCATTGGGAGTCCATTTTGACCTGGAAATAGAGATACATGCTGCATTATATCTTCACAACTGGATATGATAGTCCCCATTGCAGTTACTATATATTCCTTTAAATGAAAAGTTACAAAACGGGCCCGGCGCGGTGGCGCAAGTGGTTAAGTCCTTGCCTTGCACGCCCAGGATCCCATATGGGCGCCGGTTCTAATCCCGGCAGCCCCGCTTCCCTTCCAGCTCCCTGCCTGTGGCCTGGGAAAGCAGTCGAGGACGGCCCAAAGCTTTGGGAACCTGCACCCGCGTGGGAGACCCAGAAGAGGCTCCTGGCTTCGGATCGGCATAGTATCGACCGTTGCGCTCACTTGGGGAGTGAATCATCGGACGGAAGATCTTCCTCTCTGTCTCTCCTCTCTGTATATCCGCCTTTCCAATAAAAAAATAATAAAAATAAATCTTTAAAAAAAAAAAAAAAAAAGAAAAGTTACAAAACAAGATCTATAACAGGAAGGAAAAAGAATTTTACAACGCCATAAAGTTAAACATGCTGCTGTATGACTAATGTGTCACTGAAAAAATGAAAAAAATCAAGAATCTTCTTAAAGAAAATGATGTTGCTGTATCATGTGAGACATTGAAGAATTTAAAGGGAAAGAAGGGAGACTCTAAACCAACAGATTCTGGAGAGATTTCATCGTGCTTAGAGCAGTGAGGTTGGCAGTAATTCAGAATTGTTGAACTATCAAAACCTCTTGAGCAGGACCATCGGAGCGTGCACCACATCAGGGACTTGGGGTGATGTCTGGTGATTGTCCTACATCTCAGGGAACCTGGGTGTGACTTCTCAATCTACTCTCTTTCCCCGGATACAAGAAGGACACAAAGAAAACGTGCAAATAAAGGTCTCACTCACCTTCCTGTAGCCTTGACCCTTATCACCAAATCAACTATATGAAAAACTTCAAAAATAAAAATAATTTTGGGCCCAGCATGGTGGCTTAGCAGCTAAAATCCTTGCCTTGAACGTGCCTGGGATCCCATATGGGCACTGGTTCTAATCCCGGCAGCTGCACTTCCCATCCAGCTCTCTGCTTGTGGCCTGGGAAAGCAGTCCAAGATGGTCCTTGTCTTGCAGCCTATTCATGGGATTAGTACGTGTGTTTTCAAAAGATGTGTTGATTGAATTACGTGAAAGACAGGATCACAAAGTGAGAATAGGAGCCCTTGTTCACCTTTGAGGACACTCCACAATCCTGGACTTCCGGGCAGCCCTTTCTTTTTTGCAGGAAAGCCCTCTTTTCACTCAGAGCTCTCTATGCAGGTGACACTCAGGGAAAAGCAGTTGGTGCTACAACCAAGCAACTTCTCTCTGGTTCCTTCCCGAGCCTGGACACCCAAAATCCTACACACAGACAAATGCATCTCAGCCTCAACCTGAGCACCCAGCCTGTAGCCAGAAGCCCCTTCTCGGCTCTCTACCCACATCCAAATGACACAAGCAAATGCAGAGCAAGGAATGTGCATCTTCCAGAGTTGGTTTTATTGAACATTTCTGCAGAGCTGAGGGACAGGAAAGGGTCCCTGAATTTCAATGTCCCCACAAGGCCCAGACCAAGACTTGTCTGCCAATTTCAGCTCCACACAGGAAGTCAGGTCTTCATTATGGGTCGAGAGAACTCCAGTGGAACAGAATGTAGCAAAGCGAATTCAAACCGAGGAGAAGCATAAACCCAAGCGTGATGGCCAAGCTCATGTTGCTGCAAAGAGGAAGCTTCCTGAGGGTAGACTGCCTTGCAGGTAAAACAACAGCAAGGTCGTCCTCAGTCAGGGGCCGGCTCTGGACACACCGCAGCATCTCGAGGCCTGGGGAGGGAGAATCCAAAGCTGAGAGAGAGGACTCAGGACAGTGGCACCAATGCCATCCAACACCCCTTCCTCAGGGTCATTGTAGGTGAGAGAGCCACCTTCTCACTAGCATCCCCATGTGACCCATGACCACCTGCCACCACCTTCTCCCTGAGTCCCGTTATGCCACACAAAGACCTGAGGCCTTCCTGCTTCCCAGTGCAGAGCTAGGAGCAGCTGATTCCAGTCTCCAAGACATCCTCCTACAATGCCGTGCAGCCCAGCCAGGAACCCTCTACCTGCCACAATGCAAACAGGGAGACCTACCTTGGGCCCGAACCGATGAGTTGGGGCTCCCCACTCTGCAGATCATGTCCATCATCCACTGGCGTGCATGAAGGGGTCCAGCAACACTGACTCGTGTCCATCCATGGGTTGTGAACCACCTCTCCAGCTGGATGAGGGTGTGGCTGTTGACTTCAATGTGGTGAAGGGAGGCATCCCCAGGACCTGTGAGCATAAGAGGTGACCAAAGGGCTGAGTCAACCACCTGCACCTGCAGAAAGGATCCTCGGCCACCAGGCCATGGCAAGGCAGGGCAGGACAGGCTGGAAAAGCCTCAAGAGAGGGATGGGAGAGGAGGCTCACCAAAGAACACCTACCAAATATTTGCTCCTCTTGTTCCTCTTTGATGTAAAGCACAGACGGTTGCTCAAAATGCTCGGGCACCATCCACCACAACCTCTGGATGTCGGCGCTGCTTTCCAGGTCATACATGGCTCCCAGCTGACTCTCCACAGGGAGAAATCCAGGAAACTGCCGCCTCACCAAAGCCTTGCAGGAGTATGGAAGGGCCCACCACCTGCCTAATATATAGTCCTCAAAGAACCCACCCTTGGTCCCACCCTACAGAGACAACACACTCCTGCAGCCTCTCCCAACAAGATCCACTCAAGCCGGGCCTGCCTTCATCCTAAGCTTATCACACTCTGCTGGGCTCTCGAATCAGGGTGGCCCCTCTGAAATGGAACTATGGGACATGAACTGATATCCATTTGTGATGCTGATGCTTGCTGGCATGGGCTAAGTAAGTGGACCCAACCTACCAAGCCTGCCTCCTTTTTTTTTGTTTTGTTTTTTGTTTTTTGTTTCAGAGTTGCAGATATGGAATGAAAAATCAGAAAGAAAAAGAGAAAGAGATGGACCTGGCATGGTAGCCTAACAGCTAAATTCCTTCTCTTGCATGCATGGGATCTTATATGTGTGCGGTTTTTAACCATGACAAACCCATTTCCAATTCAGCTCTTTGTGGCTGCATAAAGCAATCCACGAAGGCTCAAAGCCTTGCAACTCTGCACCCATGTTGGAGACCTAGATAAGCTCAAGGCTCCTGGTTTCAGATTGGTTCAATTCTGGCTGTTTTGGCCCAGTTGAGGTGTGAACCAGCAGACAGAGATGTTTCTGTCTGCCTCTCCTTCTCTCTATAAATTGACTTTCCAATATAAATCTCTATAAATCTGACATTTAGAAAAGATTTATTTAATCATTTGAAAGTCAAAGTTACAGAGAGAGGAAGGAGAGACAGAGGTCTCCTATTCTGGCTCATGTCTCAGATAGCTACAATGCTACATTTGCTGAGACTGGAAAAGCAGAAGCCAGGAGGCAGGAGTTTCATCCAGGTCATTAGCAATGAGATGCTGGCACTGCAGGCAGTGGCAAAGCAGTCCATGTATTTTCAGCAGTCAGGTCATGGCAGGATTGTATGAAGCAAGGCAATTCTGAAACTATGTTTGAAAACAGTAGCGTCAATGACACTCTGCAATCCAGACCTCATTAATCTTCCCATTGACTAGATGCAAACTGCAAGCACAAATGCCAGATGTTTCCATTTGCATCCATGAATCTCTGCTTCCCTAAATATTGCTTGGAATTCATTAGTCAAATCTTACAATAGACTCCCCTCTTCCCCCACTGTGAGCCCTACCGTTTTGTGTTGTCTGGGCGCTAAGTAATCCCACATGTGTAGTCACTTACTGGCTGCTGCAAACTGTCCAAATCTAGGGAGCCCATTCTGGAGCCTTTCTGCTCCAGCACCTTCTTAATCCCCTTCTATGGTGAGAACAATACTTTGTGAATTCCAAGTCCTTTGAATTTAGAATGAAGTGGGACCAGATGGGTGTCAGATTCCAGTCCTGGAAGCCCTGCTTCTGACCTAGTTCCCTGCTAATGTGCCTGGGGAAGCAGTGGAGGATGGCTCAGGGGCTTGGGAGACATAGATGAAGTGCTGGTTCCTGGCCCAGACTCAGACCCAGACCCAGACATTTGGCCATTTGGGGAGTGGGTTAGAGGATGGAAGATCTCTCTCTCTCCACCTCCCCTTTGTAACTCTGCCTTTCAAATAAAGAAATTGATCTTTTTGAAAAAGGAACTTAGAATTAAAAAAAGGTTTTGTTCTGGACATTAGCAAGGGCATCACTGATAAGCAGATTAACTTGAAATGAAAAGATCAAGCTGAGAACTTGCAACTACTGTTTTGGGCGGAGCTGCAGTGATTGGATAGTCTCAGTAGGGTGGGTCAAGGGTGGGAGTTTGAGGCCTGTATAAAAGACAGGCCTGGGCCTTCCTTCACTATTGCGAGCTACCTGTCAACTAGCTTCCTCTTTGCCTTGTTCTGAGTCAGGTGTGAGCAGTGCAGGACGCAGGCATGAGCAACTTCAGCAGCAAGCCGTGGTGGATGGTGCCTGCCAACTTTAATGCTCCAATGGAATTGTACATTGAAGAGGAGCAGGAGGAGCAAATATTTGGTAAGTGTCCCTTGTCCACACCTCCCCCTTTACCTAGTTTCCAAACTTCATTCCCCCACCCTGCTTGTCGCAGAGTCCAGCCTTTAGACCTCTGTTTCCCCAAGTACTGGTGTTTTAACGTCTTTTCTCCCACTTCTGCTCACAGGCCGCGGTGACATGTACCTTCGCAGCATTGAGGTACACAGCCACAGCCTCATCCAGGTGGAGAGTTGGTTCACAGCCAAGGGACAGACTCGGGTCAGCGTCGTTGGACCCCATCATGCACGCCAGTGGCTGATGCACATGTTCTGGAGCTTGGGACACCCAGACTCTTCCCAAAAGGCCCAAGGTAAGAATTGGTGAAATTTTAGTTGAGGTATGTTTGAAAAAAAAATACATTTATTTTGGGGTAAGATGTATTTCTTTATTTTAAAGGTTTATTTATTTTATTGGAAAGGCAGATCAGAATTACAGATAAGAAGAGATAAGAGAGAAAGGTCTTCTATCTCATGGTTTACTCGCTGGGTGACAGAAATGACTGAGGTTGAGCCTGTCTGAAGCCAGGAGCCTCTTTCAGGTCTCTCCTGTGGGTGCAGGGTCCCAAGTCTTATGCCTATCCCAGGCTAGAAGCAGGGAGCTAGATCAGAAGTGGAGAAGCTGGACATGAACTGGCACCCATACAGGATCTTGCCACATGCAATGCAAGGAGAGGATTTGGTCCTTGAATCATTGTGATAAACTCAAAAGATTTATTTTTTAAAAATAATAGAGAGAGGAGAGAGAAACAATCTTTCACCTGATGGTTCACTCAGCAAGTGGCCGCAATGGCCAGAGACGAGCTGGTCCAAGGACAGGAGCTTCTTCTGGATTGCAAATGTGGGTGCAGAAGCCCCAAAACATGGGCCCTCCTCTGTTGCTTTCTCAGGCCATTAGCAGGCAGTTGAGTCAGAAGTGGAGGCACAGGACTGGTGTTGTCACCCATATGGGATCCCTGCATGCCAGGCATAGGCCTAACCTGATATTCCACAATGCGGCACCAAAAGATTTATCTGAAAGGCAGAGAGATCCAGAGAAAGAGCATCAGCAGGAGATCTTCCATCAGCTGGTTTACCTCGGAAATGGCTGCAACAGCTGAGGCTCGGCCACAGTGAAGCAAGAAACCAAGAAACCGGGAGCTTCATCTGGGTCTCCCTTATGGGTGGCAGGGGTCCAAGCTCAGGCGCATTGACAGCATCACGGCAGAAGGGACACACCAAGGACTTGAATCCTAGTGTCTCAGGTAGCATTTTTTTTTAAGATTTATTTTATTTTTATTAGAAAACAGATACACAGAGAGGAGAGACAGAGAGGAAGATCTTCAGTCCAATGATTCACTCCCCCAGCAAGCGCAATGGCCGATGCTCCCCCAATCCCAAGCCAGGAGCCTCTTCTGGGTCTCCCACGCAGCTACAAGGTCGCAAGCCTTGGGGCTTCCTTGACTGCTTTCCCAGGACACAGGAAGGGAGCTGGATGGAAGCTGGGCTGCCAGGATTAGAACCGGCCTCTATATGGGATCCTGAGCATGCAAGGCGAGGACCTTAACCACTGCACCATCGCACCAGGCCTATGTGGGTGGTAAATTTTAAAGGTTTATTTGTTTAAAGGTGGAATGCGAGAGGCACAGGGAGAGAGAGATCTTCTGTCTGTTCTTTCAGTCTCTGAAATGACTGCCTGGTTAGGGCTGGGGCAATCTGCAATCAGCAGCCTGCAACTCCATCCAGGTCACCCACAGCAGTGCAGGCGTCCAAGGGTTTGGTCCATCTGCTGCTGCTTTCCCAGGTGCATTGGAGGGCAGCTAATAGGAAGTGGAGCAGCCAGGACTTGAATCTGCACTTAACACAAGAGGCAGTCGTTGTAGGCCATGCTTAAACAGCTATTCCAAAACACCAGCCCTGAGTTGAGATCCCGAAGGTAGATTCCTAGCAGAGTTGTAGAAGTTGTTGAAGAATTTGTTAGGTGACTGAAACCCAGATGTTCCCCTGAGTCCTTTGGGAAAGAAGGGGCCAGCAGCCAAAGGCATTCATGAGTCCAGAAATCACTCAGGGAGGAGAACAGATGGAGGAATTACACAACTGGTCAGCTGGGAAGGCCAAGGCTGAGGCAGGTCACTTTTCCATGATGTGACTGTGGCAGTGCCAGCCTGCTGTGGAGTGGTTCGTGTTAACTATGGGCTTTCCTTCCCCAGGCCTCCAGATGCTGCAACGTGTCCAGAATCAACAACTGACCAAAAATGACTTCGGCACTTCTGTCAGGATGCAGCCCAACACCGGTGACTTGTCTTTGGCCTCCAGATTCAGTGGGACCGTCTGTCTTGATGTTCTGCCAGCTGCCAGTTTCCCCTGGAGTGGTTGTTTTTGATTCCACTCAATTTCACGTATGCATCAGAAGGAGTGATATTCCATAAGAAGCTGAAAGAGGGAGGGAAGGTTGTGGCTTTAACCCTGGCCAAGATGTTTGAATTTTAGGTACTCCCTTTCCCGCTCTTACGCTTTGCAGTTGTCCAATAAAAGCAGCTACGTGATTTGAAGTGTTATGTGTTTGATTGGTTTTCAAAGCCTCAAAGTGGTTTCTGTGGACAAGTTGATTTAAAAAATGAGTTTCCTGAACACCACGGAACCCTAGTGGGGCAGAAAGGGGTGAGAGACAAGTCCAGATCAGTCAGAAGACGGTCCCAAGCAACTGCTTGGTGTAGTAGTAGGTCCCATCAGACCCACCACTCCTGGAGCTCATGGTCCCGGGTACCTATCACCTCCAGACTGGCATGGCTCACCTTACCTCAGCATTGACCAGAAAGTACTTAGCCTGGCTTGGCCAGCCTGCCCCCAGTGCCAGCTCCTAATTGGTGCTGCAGCCTTTCCTGGCCCAATTGTCCCCTATCCTGTCTTTCGTGTGAACTAACTGGTTGCACCTTGTCCTGGTTCTCACATCTGCCAGTGGATGTTGTGTCCTGGCCTAGCCTGGCCCACCCTCCAGGCCTGACCCACATGTATGCTGGCCAGTACTGTAGCTTGGTCTGGTTTGGGCTGCTCCCAGCTTGGTTCTTGCGCTCACCTGCAGGGACTGTGTCCTGACAGGAGGAGTTCCCCAAGCTCTATCAGGTCACCTCCATATGGCACACTTTGGTGGGTCCCTGGCCCAGGTTGACTTTGTCTACCTCTTGTTCTGGCAAAATAGTGTCCTCCTCCAACTTACCCAATCCCCTTCCAGTTTTCACTGTTTTCACTGTTGGGTGTTGCAGCCCAGCCATACCTGGTCCACACTCAGACACAGCCCTCATGCAGCTCAGCTCTCATGAGCACCAGTGGGTGCTGGAGTCTAGCCCAGTCTGACGCTCCCCAGACCCAGACCCACCCATGCTGAGGGAGGCTGAAGCCACATCCAGACCAGCCTGCTTATCTCCATTCTGGCTCTTGTGCTCACCGATGGGAATCCCAACCTAACCACAGCATCCCCTTAGCTCTCCAACCAGACCTGTTCACAGACACATATCTTGCACATGCCAATGGAGATTGCTATCCCCCATGGCTGAGTCCACAGGCTCCACCACGAGTTCTACCCCAGACCTAATTCTCTCATGGACCAGTCTCACATTACCTGTTCCCTGTTCAGACTCTCACTAATGGGATCCATGATCTAGCCCTGCAAGTACAGTGACCCTGTACATGGAAGATCCTCAGAAGTTGTTCCTCACCTGGACATGAACCCTGTTTCTGCTTGAGCCACCTGTGCTAATTCCAAGACCAAATGTAAGTTATCACCCGCAAGTTCCTAGAGCACACCGCCAGGCTCGAGGGCTTTGTCTAGTGCCATTGGTGCCCAGGCTGCCCAGGGCCTCCCCCGCTCCCGCCCCAGGGAGTCACTCTGCCCAGCTGTCCGCACCTATGCCCTGTTATGTAGTTTTCACAAGGGTAGTTACTAGACAGTATTTAGCTGCTTCAAATTAAATAATTAGGAAGCTCATGGAGGTACAGTGTTAGTTTATCACTAGATATGAATTATTTTTTTCTTATTTTCTCTTTTAAATTATTTTTTAAAAAGATGTGTGACTTTTACTTGAAGGAGTTACAGAGATAGGCAGAAGGAGAGAAAGAGAGAGGTTTTATCCACTGGTTCACTGCTCAGTGGTTGTAATGGCCAGAGCTGGACTGATCTGAAGCTGGGAACCCCAAGCTGCTTTTGTATTTCCCACAAGCGTGCAGGGTCCCAAGGACTTGAGTCCTCTTGGGCTGTTTTCACAGACCATCAGCAGGGAGTTGGATCAGAGTGGAGAAGCTGGACATGAACTGGCACCCATATGGGATCTTGCCACATGCAATGCAAGGAGAGGATTTGGTCCTTGAATCATTGTGATAAACTCGAAAGATTTATTTTTAAAAAATTTATTTGAATGGCAGAGTTCCAGAGAGAGGAGTGAGAAACAATCTTTCACCTGTTGGTTCACTCAGCAAATGGCCGCAATGGCCAGAGCCGAGCTGGTCCAAAGCCAGGAGCTTCTTCTGGATTGCAAATGTGGGTGCAGAAACCCCAAAACATGGGCCCTCCTCTGTTGCTTTCTCAGGCCATTAGCAGGCAGTTGAGTCAGAAGTGGAGGCACAGGACTGGTGTTGTCACCCATATGGGATCCCTGCATGCCAGGCATAGGCCTAACCTGATATTCCACAATGCCGGCCCCAAAAGATTTATCTGAAAGGCAGAGTTCCAGAGAGAGAGCATCAGCAGGAGATCTTCCATCAGCTGGTTTACCTCGGAAATGGCTGCAACAGCAGAGGCCCGGCCACAGTGAAGCAAGAAACCGGGAGCTTCATCTGGGTCTCCCTTATGGGTGGCAGGGGTCCAAGCTCAGGCACATTGACAGCATCACGGCAGAAGGGACACACCAAGGACTTGAATCCTAGTGTCTAAGGTGGCAAGTTTTTAGAAGTTTATTTGTTTGAATAGTGGAATTTGAGAGGCACAGGGAGAGAGAAATCTTCTGTCTGTTCTTTCAGTCTCTGAAATGGCTGCCAGGTTAGGGCTGGGGCAATCTGCAATCAGCAGCCTGCAACTCCATCCAGGTCACCCACAGCAGTGCAGGCGTCCAAGGGTTTGGTCCATCTGCTGCTGCTTTCCCAGGTGCATTGGAGGGCAGCTAATAGGAAGTGGGGCAGCCAGGACTTGAATCTGCACTTAACACAAGAGGCAGTCGTTGTAGGCCATGCTTAAACAGCTATTCTAAAACACCAGCCCTGAGTTGAGATCCCGAAGGCAGATTCCTAGCAGAGTTGTAGAAGTTGTTGAAGAATTTGTTAGGTGACTGAAACCCAGATGTCCCCTGAGTCCTTTGGGAAAGAAGGGGCCAGCAGCCAAAGGCATTCATGAGTCCAGAAATCACTCAGGGAGGAGAACACAGATGGAAGAATTACACAACTGGTCAGCTGGGAAGGCCAAGGCTGAGGCAGGTCACTTTTCCATAATGTGACTGTGGTAGTGCTAGCCTGCTGTGGAGTGGTTCGTGTTAACTATGGGCTTTCCTTCCCCAGGCCTCCAGATGCTGCACCGTGTCCAGAACCAATCCCTGACCAAAAATGACTTCGGCACTTCTGTCAGGATGCAGCCCAACACCAGGTTTTGGGTCATCCTCTACTGCTTTCTCAGGCCACAAGCAGGGAGCTGGATGGGAAGCTGGGCTGCTGGGATTAGTACTGGCACCCAAATGGGATCCTGGCATGTTCAAGGCAAGAACTTTAACCACTATGCTATCGCACCAGGCCCTAGTTTGGCCTTTTTAAAAAGGAGAATGAGGGCCCGGCACGGTGGCGCAAGTGGTTAAGGTCCTCACCTTGCACGCCCGGGATCCCATATGGGCGCTGGTTCTAATCCCGGCAGCCCCGCTTCCCTTCCAGCTCCCTGCCTGTGGCCCGGGAAATCAGTCGAGGACAGCCCAAAGCTTTGGGACCCTGCACCCGCGTGGGAGACCCGGAAGAGGCTCCTGGCTTCAGATCGGCATAGCATCGGCTTGGGGAGTGAATCATCGGACGGAAGATCTTCCTCTCTGTCTCTCCTCTCTCTATATCTGCCTTTCCAATATAAAAATAATAAAAATAAATCTTTAAAAAAAAAAAAAAGGAGAATGAGATATTCCCCAGTGCAACAACAATGCCATGTTAAAGCAAGAAAGAAGAAACAAAAAATGAAATTCAGTCCAGATTTTGACAGAAGACAAATGTGGATATCTGATGTTGTTTTCTGCTGCAGAGAATAAAACATGGCTAAAAGACCTAAGAGAATAACCTGCCTTTAGACCAACTCTAGGGCCCAAATTTGAATACCATATAGATAATCTAGCTCAAAAAATATTCTCAATTCTGGGTAATTATAGCATGTAATGTTTCAAATTTCTTCCATGTAAGCTAACAGTCCAGGTATTTACTTTTGAAATATTTTCTGAAATCCTGAAAATGTTCCCTGCCACATTTTCTTTTTTTTTTTCTTTTTTCTTTCCTTCCTCCAAACCCTAAGGCTGGGGAGGTGACAAAGCATCCATTGTGGTTAATGAAGGTAATTAGTAAATGAATGGAGAGCTGTGGAGAGGCAGGGCACTGAGCTCAGAGCACAATCAGGATAGGGGAGTGCGATTCCAGCTGGGGGAAACAGCTGTGGTGAGTTCTTGCAGGTGCCTAGCCAGGTCCAGCAAACTCTGGGCCAACCTTCCCCAGCCTTGCACTAGCTGGATCATCTTCTTGGGTCCCAGCCTTGCTGTGCGGGTCTTAGTGGCCATACTGTCCTCCCTCCTCACCTGCCTCACTGCAGGACGGCCCTGAGGTCAGAGGTTCCGAGGGCCTCCCTTCACCCCACTGTCCATTTCAGCCACCCACACACCATCAATCTTCCTGTCACATGTAGCACTACTGCCAATTTTACAAATCCTTAGATGCACGTGACTCCCAACCAAGCTGGCAAGTCAAGTTTCTGCTGAGATTACAAGACTTGCCCCATGCTACCCCAGGGGCACTCGACTCCACCAGGAAATCATACATGAGTAACCACACAGGGTCAGGTCAAGCCCACTGGGGAGCCCTTTTCCTGCTTTAGCAACACACCTGCAAAGTAAGATACTTCAGGTAGCCCTCAAGATTGTGCACACATTTAAATGTGAATCTCTGAATCCCAGGGCAGAGACGGACCCCGAGGGAGAGCTGAGCGGAGAGGTGGCTGAGCAGGGAGCTCTCAGTCAGCACTGGGTGTGCCACCCTGTCACGCTCATTACTCTGGGACCTGAGGGTTTCACCGTGGTTGAACAGCCTTATTACAAAGGCTTTCCTGAACTGTACCTACCTTTCACTTCCTCTCCAAAACTCCAGTTCTACTGTCTGGCTACCTCTGGGTGGAGCTTCTCTTCACCGACTGTTTCCCAGGATCATCGCATTTGTCCTCGGGTAAGCGATTAGATTTTTTTTAAAAAGCAAACTGCTCAAAGACAGTTTTTTTTTCTTTTTTAAATTTCAATACCTTCCACAAGTTTGTTTCTCCTTGCTGCTGAACGAAAGGTGGAATGAAACATTTTCCATCACTGATATGCGTGGAATGCATGCCATATTACCGAATTTTACTTTTGCTACGTTAATTCACAGTCTCTACTGGAATAGTTTTCTAAAGAGCTCTGCCTTTAGGACAGAATACTGGATAGACTTAACGAGCAAGGGCAGCATTTATATACTAGGTTCACATTACAGAATCAGGAATCAGAAGTGTTTAGGTTACTTTGCCACACACAAGCATTCAGTCAGCTGGTTCTTTCAAGGGTGCACTCACTAAGGGTGCACAAAACACACTCAAGCAACAGGTCCTGAGACATGAGGCTGGAAAGAAACGAGGAAAGCAGCAATCTCCTAGGCTGCAGCTAGAAGTAGCAGTTTTCCAGCACCTATAAAGACTAAGTTGATAGGACCCGGTAGCGTGGCCTAGCGGCTAAAGTCCTCGCCTTGAACGTGCCTGGATCCTATATGGGCTGCCGGTTCTAATCCCGGCAGCTCCCTTCTTATGGCCTGGGAAAAGCAGTCAAGGACGGCACAGAGTATTGGGATCCTGCACCCATGTGGGAGACCCGGAAGAAGTTTTTGGTTCCCGGATCTGGATCAGCACAGCACCAGCCATTGCAGTCACTTGGGGAGTGAATCATCGGATGGAAGATCTTCCTCTCTGTCTCTCCTCCTCTCTGTATATCCGCCTTTCCAATAAAAATAAATAAATCTTAAAAAAAAAAAAAAGACTAAGTTGATAACATCTAGCTGGTTTCCCCTTTAGGATCAGCAATTCTGCAATTGGAAACAGTTATATACTTTCAAACTTTTTTTTTTCAAATAATGGCATCCCATATTCACAACTCTATGAAAGCAAAAAATTGGAATTCTAAGAGCCCTCATGTAAAAATTAAATGGAATGCCTCGGGCCAGTTGGATGGCATTAACAGGTAGGACCACCACCTATAATGCCAACATCCCAATATGGGAACCAATTGGAGTTCCAGCGGTTCCAATTCCAAACCAGCTTCCTACTGATGGCCATGGAAAAAAGCAGTAGCAAATAGCCCAAGTGTGTGGGCACCTGCCAGCCATGTGGAGACCTGGCTGAAGTTCCTGGTTTGAGCCTGACCTTTCGTCATTTGGGTTGGAATCAAGCAGAAGGAAGTTTATGCTCTCTCTTCTCTTTTTCAAATAAAAAATTTGGGGCCCGGTGCAACAGCACGGGGGTTAAGGTCCTCACCTTGCACGCTCGGGATCCCATATGGGCGCCGGTTCTAATCCTGGTGGCCCTGCTTCCCATCCAGCTCTCTGCTTGCGGCCTGGGAAAGCAGTCGAGGATGGTCCAAATCCTTGTGACTCTGCATCTGCGTGGGAGACCCTGAAGAGCACCTGGCTCCTGGCTTCGGATTGACTCAGCTCCAGCCGTTGTGGTCACTTGGGGAGTGAACCATCGGATGGAAGATCTTCCTCTCTGTCTCTCTTCCTCTCTGTATATCCGCCTTTCCAATAAAAATAAATAAATCTTCAAAACAATTTTTTAACATTTATTTTTATTGCAAAATCTTCAAAAAAATTTTAAGATTTATTTATTTTTACTGCAAAATCAGATATACAGAGAGGAGGAGAGACAGAGAGGAAGATCTTCCGTCCCCTGATTCACTCCCCAAGGGACCGCAATGGTACCCATTAGGGATCCCTGTGTGTTCAAGGTGAAGACTTTAGCTGCCCTGCCACCTCACTGGGCCCATAAACAAAATCTTAACACTCGAAAGGAATAAAGTTAACCTAGATCTCTAATTGCTTATATGTGGCTTAAGAAAAAAACATGGATGGATGTAGGAAATTAAAGCATTTGAGGTTGGAGAATGAGAAATTCATGAATATGAAATATGACTTTTCTTAAATCCTCACCTTGCAAGCACCAGAACTCCACACAGGCACCTGTACATGTCTCCTGGCAGCTCCACTTCCCATCCAGCTCCCTGCTTGTGGCCTGAGAAAGCAGTGGAGAACAACCCAAAGCCTTGGGACCCTGTACCCGCATGAGAGACCCGAAGAAGCTCCTGGCTCCTGGCTTCAGATTGGCTCAGTTCTAGCCATGGCAGCCACTTGAGTGAACCAGCAGATGGAAGACCTTCCTCCATCTCTGCTTCTTTCCATAAATCTGCCTTTCAAAACAAAAATCTGTTTCCTATCATTTAAGGATGTTTAGAAAGTTTTAATCATTTGAGAGAAGAGGAGAGGAAAGATTCAATTTATACTGCTTAACTGCCCACATGCCCTAACTGCTGAGGTAAGGGCAAGGGAAGACTGGGAGCAGGCAATTCAGCCCAAGGCCCCCTAGACGTGGCAGGGACCCATCAGCTGCTGTCTCCCAGTGTGTGCAAGAGCAGGGACTCAAACTGACATGGAATGCAAGTACCCCAAGAGACACTTAAACCACTAGGCCATAACACTTGCCCCTATTTAAGGGGGATTCATGGGACACGTGTGAACGTAACATTTAAAATAGAAGAATCATATGTGCTGCTTAAAATGGTTTTTATTCCAGTGTAGAAAAAAAAAAGAAACAGTAAGTGGGACTCATCCTTGGGTAACATTAAGTTAGTCCTATGGAAGGAAGTTATATTCCCCTTTCTAGCAGCTCCTTAACCACCAGGAAATGAACCTTACCTACTCCAATCCCGCTTTCCCTTTGGGCGACTAAGGTGTTATTCAAGTGTCTGCGAGAAATGAAGGGGTCTGCAGGGCTCTCTTCTCCCCATACTCCACTCTGCGTTCCATGTCAGCAGATCTGTGCTTATGGATCTCCCATCAGCTTGAGGGTTTCAATTAGGGATTAGATAGCCCCATCCCACAGTGCCTCAAGGTTAGCTGCATTTATTTCCAACCCAAACACAATGTCAAAGAACTATTCACTTAAATAAAACTTTATTCTTTGATTAACAATTTTGAAAAGCAATATTTGTGTCAACACCCAGAGCCAAGGCAAGGACAGCCAGAACATCGTTTCTCCCTCAGGAGGCCCCAGCAGGCTCGGAAACCCTGCCCCAATCACTCCAGCTCTGATTGCAACCTCAGCTCTACAGCTGGTCCCAGTCATTCGGCTGGAAGTCGGCTTCAGTTCATCCAAGGACTTAGCTCCAGACAACCCATGGCTTCCTCAAGTTTGAGCATCCCTGCGCCAGAAAGAGCAACAGCAGGGTGAAGGTGTGAGGGGTGGGGAGATGGAGGGGGGGCCGGTCAGGGAAGGAGCTGAAAGCGTTCTCTGCCTCCTTTGGGGGTGCGTTTCTGGGACCCCTGAGCCTGTGGTTCTTGGGAATCTCGGAACGTAGACCCAAGGTTCCAAAAGGCTTGAGGAGAGAGGAGACTTAGATAACTTAGCCAAGGAGTCCTCAGCCCAGGTGTCAAGGAGGCAGGACGGCGGCAGGGAGAGGACGCCCGAGGGCAGTACGGGGTCACCGAATCTCTCACCTCGCTCCTGCCGCTGGCGGTGCCACTCAGCCAGGGACTGCAGCATCCACTTGGTCCGGAGCTTGTAGTTATAGTTGCCATAGACCACCACTTCGGTCAAGTCCGAAGATTCCAGAGCCTTCAGCTCAAGCATGGCCTTGCTCACTTGCTCGAAGTAAGCGATTCGAGAACCATCCGGGCCTGCTGGGGGAAGGAGATGAAGCCTCGGGCCACCTGGACCGAATGGCCTAGCTCTGAAGAGAGCACCTGGGACCAAACTGCGCACACTCACCAAATATGGCCTCCAGCAGCCGCGTCTTTACCTGCAACACCTCGGGGTCTTTCAAGTCGTCCGGAACCTTCACCCACGGAGGGATATCCTTACGTCTCAGGAGAGTTCCCATCTCGGCTTTGGAATCAGCCACTACGGGGAGAACTAACTGTGTGGCTCGGCCTCCATGCGCGGGAAGTCTATTCTCCTGCGGCCCCGCCCCTGGACGGCCCCGCCCCTGGACAGCCCCGCCCCCGGCCCGGGCCCAATCCTACGCTCCCAGCGCCGTGTCCGGCCGGCCCCCTCCTCGCCATAGGGTGACCTTCTCCACCACTCGGCGTGACCTCGGAGACTCCGCCCCCAGGCCCAGCTGTAGCCTGGCTAGCCTTGGCTGTCCACCTGCCTGGAACTCCTTAAGGCCAACTGAAGCCCGAGGCAAGGGCAAGTCCACTCTTCCCAACTAGTTGGGCCTGAAGTCCAGAAAACAGGAATTTAGGCTTGCGCATCCAAGAACTGCCCCCAGCTGCGATGGAAAACCTGCCTCTCATGTTCCAATGAAAGGTCTCTCTGCCTTTGGCACCAAGAAACTGATCGTAGGTCTGCACTTGGCAAACAATCCGGACGCCTCAGGAGTGATTGAGCCACTTCGCCAAGAGGCAACGGAAATTCCCAAATCCATTCTCTCACTTGCAGGGAGCGGTTGGGGCCCCAAATTCCTTCCTCGAAGCCCCTAGACCTGCAGCTTTCAAACTCACCTCAGATATCCAAGTCCATGGGCACCATCCTGCCGGACCACTCCAACCCAACGGTCCACTCACCCAGCTCCCCTGTAAGCAAACTTAAGATTGCTCCTTTTTAAAAAGCCCATTGTTTGAGGAGACTGTTCATGAAGGACATCCATCATAAAACTGGACAGGAAATCAATGGGAGAGGGGGAGGGATGTTAGGGAAGGACATGGGCAACTCCAGAACCTATGGAACTATATCATAAGACAAAATGTTTAAAAATGAATATATATATATATACCCTAAAACACAAAACAAACAACAACAAAAGATTGTTTGAAGTGTTGAAGGTGGCCAGGATTCACTCAAGGGTATGGTCCCAGCTAGCTGGAGATGGAGCTGGCTTCTCCCACGTCAAGTCCCAGGACCATCCAACTTGCCCTCAGCTGACTCTTGTCAGGGATTACACACGCCTGCTAACATTTGGTGGGGGAAAAAGCTGTGTTCTTTTATAACCTAATCAATTTAGGAAGGCTCACCAATGGCTAAAATTATAAATTCAGAAAATTGTCTTAAAAAATAGTTCTCAGTGGCTAAAACTAGCAGATGAAGGTTGAGAAACTAGAGTTTTACAGAGCCTGGCAGTCCTAGCCCATAGCAGATGTGAAATACAAAAGAGAAACGATTCCTTAAAGACTTACCAAAGACCAAAATTTGCATCAGCAGTGATGGGACAAATGGACAGTTTATTTGTCCATCATGAAAAGCTAAAAAAAAAAAAAAACTGGAGCACTATTAATAGACAACAATAGAGCCAAGTAATACTGATTCAGAGGACAGAATATTCCAGGAACATTTTAGTAAGGACCATGTTGCAAATACTATTTTATTATTATTTAAAATTGTCTGAAGTAGGATAACTCACAATTATGTACAAGAGTCCTTCTCAGGAGAAATGTGAAAAAGTAGAGTGAGTTGTATTAGCTGCAATTTGCTTACAAATAATTAAAGGCTTTCTCTTGGGCCCAGCACAATAGCCTAGTGGCTAAAGTCCTCACCTTGCATATGCTGTGATCCCATATGGACACCAGTTCATATCCTGGCTGTTCCACTTCCCTTCCAGCTCTCTGCTTGTGTGCTGGGAAAGCAGTCAAGGACAGCCAGCCCAAAGCCTTGGTACCCTGCACCCATTTGGGGGACCCGGAAGAGACTCCTGACTGCTGGCTTCAGATCAGCTCAACTCTGGCCATTGTGGCCACCTGGGGAGTGAACCAGCAGATGCAAGATCTTTGTCTCTCCTTCTCTCTGTAAATCTGACTTTCCAATTAAAAAAAAAAAAAAAAATATATATATATATATACTTTCCCTCAAAAAAAAAAAAAAAAAGAAACAGTGCATCAAATGTCAACTGTTGGCTCCAAGTAACAAAAGACATTTACTCATAGAATATTCCTGTAGTTTTGACATTTTTACAACAAATGCTATGTAATTGGCTATTTGGCAAGAAATCATAACTTTACTAATGAAAGAAATAGTTCAAATTTCAAATTAAATTATAATTACTGTTTTTTCAAAATCCAAAAATGCTTTTAAAATTACATTGATTTCATAATGGCATTTATATGTTATTTCTGTTGTTCTTCAGGGCTTTGATTGGATCTGTTCTTGATGCATTTGCTTATAACATTGACTCTTCATTTTATTTATTTTATTTGAAAGAGTTAAATAGAAAGGGAGAGACAGAAAGATGTTTCATCCATTGGTTCACTCCCCCAAACAGCCACAATGATCAGAGCTGGGCTGGTCCAAAGTCAGGAGGAGGAGTCTCTTCTTAGCCTTCTGTGTGGGTGCAGGGGTCCAAGCACTTGGGACCCCCTCTGCTGCTTTCCCAGGTGCATTTGCTGTGAGCTAGATCAGAAGGGGAGCAGCTGGGGTATTAAACCGGCACCATATGGGCTCCTGGCATCACAGGTGTTATCAGCAAAGCTTAGTGGGTGCTTAGCTCAGCATAGAAATAAAAAGCTGGGGACCAGTTACAGACAGAGAAGTTTTATTCACAAAGGAAATAAGTGAATGTGAAAAGAAGGGGGAAAGCACCTCCCGAGAGGAACTGGGAGATGGGGCATCTCCTGAAAGGAGAGACAGACACCAGGGTTCCAAGAAGTGCCTAGGTTTCTGAGTGCCCTGCCTCCTCATGTCTGGTCCTCTAATCAATTAGGAAAAGGCTGAGCCATCCCTGTGTTGCCCACCTGACGGTGTTATTTTCCTGGTCAGCTGACGAGAGACAAGCAGGAAACTGACATATGGTAAGTTTCCCAAGAAACAGTGCACATGCAAACATGGGGCAGTGAGACGATGGCCCAAGGAGAATGGCCTCACAACGTTTGCCCCCGGACCTAACATAAAACTTGAGTGAGCTTGGATGTCTCAGCAGGCAGAGGCTTAACGTGCTTATGCCACAAGAGCAGCCCCTGCATGAATCATTTATGTCCTTAGCCTCCATACATATTTCCTCAACCTCTTCCTCTTCCCCCACCTCTTTATACACTTGGCAACGTTCTGGAATCTTCTTCCTCCAACTCCAACATTGCTTCATCCTGGTCAGATTCTGTTCCAGATTCCATCCAAGCCTGGAGCAGGGATAACTCCTGCTCCCTAGGGAAGAAAGCTTCTGTGGCTTCACCCAGCCTGTGTCCAAGGGCAGGGAACCCAGAGAGAGTGAAGGCTGCCTTAGAATCCTCTTAAGAAAAGTAGATGAAGTATTACAGTGTTAGCTGATAGCTCACAAACATAAGACTTTGTGGGGGGAACAATGTATCCAAACGCCACATGAAAAATTTCCCACAGGGCTGGACAATGGCTCAATTGGCTAATCTTTCACCTACTAGCATCAACATCCTATATGGGCACCAGATCATGTCCTCACTAATACACTTCCCATCCAGCTCCCTGCTTGTGGCCTGGGAAAGCAGTCGAGGATGGCCTAAGACCTTGGGACCCTGCACCCACATAGGAGACCCACAATAGGCTCCTGGCTCATGACTTCAGATCCATTCAGATGATTCAGGTCCACTTGTTGCAGCCACCGGGGGAGTAAACCAGCAAATAGATCTTTCTCTCTGTCTCTCTTCTCTATATCTGCCTTTCCAATAATATGTAAATTATTATTATTTTTTCTTAGGGTACAGGGCACAGGCTTTTCTGAGGTGAGGAACATGACAGATGGGCTAAGGACTAAGACTGGGGGAGCTAGAATTCTGGAAGACTGCAGAGGGCTGGGAAGCCCCTCCGGGGGTGGGATCTGCTCCCAATCACTTAGGCTAGCCAAGGTGTGCAGGAACTTCAGATGCTTTAAATCAGCTTTGTTCGAAAGTCAGAAGGAGGAACAGTTGTTACTTTAGCCCATTGATTAAAGGCCAGTGCGTGAGTCAGATTTAGTGTTCATCTGGATGGACATGCATTAGAGTTAACAAGCTCTTGTTTAAAAAAGATTTCTCTATTTTTATTGGAAAGTCAGATTTGCAGCGTGAAGCAAAGAGAGAGGAAGATCTTCAATCTGCTAGTTCACTCCCCAAGTAGCTGCAATGGCCAGAGCTGAGCTGATCTGAAGTCAGGAGCTTGGGGCCTCTTCTGGGTCTCGCACATGGGTGCAAGGTCCCAAGGTTTTGGGCCGTCCTCAACTGCTTTCCCAGGCCACAGGCAGGGAGCTGGATGGGAAGCAGGGCAGCTAGGATTAGAACCAGTACCCATGTGGGCTCCCGATGCTTGCAAGACAAGGACATTAGCCACTAGGCTACCATGCCGGGCCCAACAAAAGGCTTCTTGAGCTATTATCATTGTACAGGCAAACATCCTATTTGGATGAGGACACAGATTTCCTCTTTGAGTGGCCATATGGATGTGTTAAGTCATTTACTTATGGAAGATTGTCGTCCTCAGTGGGAAAAATTAAGAACAATCACCTTTCCCTCTACCTAGCCTGACATGCACATAACCCCCCAAATTAGAGACTTAATATAAATGTGTTGCTCTTTCAAGACATAAGGCATGTAAGGAGCTTTTGGGTAGAAGACCTGGTGGAAACGCTTTTGTTTCCCAAGTTTTCTGAAAGGTTATTATTGTCATCTATTAAAAAAGAGAGAGAGAGAAAAATCCCTTACCATACAATAAATCATACCCCCTCCCATTTCTCACTAATAATTCAATATGCTCAAGTTTGATATTAATTAATCCATGTGAGAGCCAACTCCCATGTACCGATTCATGCCCCAAATGCATAAAAGCCATGGCTAGGGCTTGGCTGGGCGTCAGCACTCTAGGTCTCTGATGCAAGTGTCAGAGATCCAGCTGTTTTGAGAAATTTCACACACACACACAACCAAGATAACTTTGGTTCTTGCCTCACATAAAAGAAGAATTTTCACGTGGAAATAGCAGTGAGCCAAGCAAGGTTCATTAAAGGAATCTCTTGATGCAGCAAGCAAGGTTTATTAAAGGAATCTCCTGATGCAGCATGAGGCAGGGGCTCCATGAGAGGAACACTGGGCAAGACGGTAAAAGTTGTATCTTTTAAGTACAATGTGGGTTTGCAGAACAGTTTATACCAACAAGAGTACAGGGGCAGAACCCATCAGAAGGCCAGAATCGTAATCCTAGCTTAGCCTGATAAAACTCCGGCTGCTTCCTGATGACAGTGTCCTGGCTGAGGTTGGTGTGCTTGGGGAGGCACCGGAGACAATGGCTGTGTCTTGGCTGTGACTGTCTTAGCCACCTTTGTTGTGGCCTTTGCTGATGCCCGTGGCCATGCAGTGGTGCAGATACAACATTTTTTTTTAAAGATTTATTTATTTGAAAGGCAGTTACACAGAGAGGAGAGCCAGAGAGGGATCTACCAGGCACTGTTTCACTCCTCAAATAGCTGGAACCACCAGTGCTGAGCTGGTCAAGAAGCCAGAAGCTTCTATGCTTCCCATGTGGGTACAGAGGCCCAGGTATTTGGGTCATTTTCTGCTACTTTCCCAGGCACATTAGCAGGGAGCTGGATCAGAAATGGAACATCTTGGGCCTGGTGTGATATCCTAGTGGCTAGATCCTTGCCTTAAAGTGCCAGGATCCCATATGGGTGCTGATTCATGTTCTGCTGCTCCACTTCCCATCCACCTCACTGCTTGTAGCCTGGAACAGCAATCAAGGATAGCCCAAAGCCTTGGAACCCTGCACCTGCATGGGAGACCCAAAAGAAGTCCCTGGCTCCTTGCTTTGGATCAGCACAGCTCTGGCCATTGCGGTCACTTGAGTGAACAGTGATTTAAACATCGATCGATCACTGCTTCTCTCTGTAAATCTGACTTTGCAATAAAAAGAAAGAAAGAAGGAAGGAAAGGAAAGGAAAAGGAAAAGGAAAAGGAAAAGGAAAAGGAAAGGGAAGGGAAGGGAAGGGAAGGGAAGGGAAGAGAAGAGAAGGGAAACAATCAGCTGGGACTCCAACTGGAATCTACATGGGATGCTGTTGCTGCAATGGCTGCCTAACCTGCTATGCCATGGTGCCAACCCACTCACTGCTTTTCAACAATTACCTGGACATAATTAAAGCTTTTAAATAACTTTTATTTCATTCATTATTATTGTTGTTGTTTTATGGCACAGTTTAATAGGCACTGGAATTTCCTGTCCCCCTCCCCAAGCCCCTTGCACCACCCCCCAATTTCATAGTTTTACAATGGGCATCTTTCAAATAACATTCATAAGTTCATCATGCTGCCATTGAAGTGTTTCCCTTTAAATAACTTTTACTATGGCCCAGTTACATTCAATCCAGATTTTGTCGGCTTCCTATTTACATTCTCTCTTGAAAACATCAGAATATCCTGGTTCATTAATCATAATTAAAAATATTTTCTTTGGGCCTGGTGGCATGGCCTAGAAGCTAAAGTCCTCGCCTTGAACGTGCTGGGATCCCATATGGGCGCTGGTTCTAATCCCAGCAGCTCCACTTCCCGTCCAGCTCCCTGCTTGTGGCCTGGGAAAGCTGGTGAGGACGGCCCAAAGCTTTGGGACCCTGCACCCATGTGGGAGACCCAGAAGAGGTTCCTGGTTCCCGGTTTTGGTGGCGCAGCATCGGCCGTTGCGCTCACTTGGAGAGTGAATCATCGGACAGAAGATTTTCCTCTCTGTCTCTCTCCTCTCTGTATATCTGACTTTGTAATGAAAATAAAATAAATCTTAAAAAAAAGAAATATTTTCTTTATGTAGGATATATGCCAAGTGAATGAATTATAGGTAAAAGGACAAAACTTTTTTTAAAGATTTATTTTATTTTTATTGGAAAGGCAGATATACAGAGAGGAGGAGTGACAGAGAGGAAGATCTTATATCTGCTGGTTCACTCAAGTAGCTGCAATGGCTGGAGCTGAGTCAATCCGAAGCCAGGTGCCAGGAGCCTCTTCCAGGTCTCCCACGCAGGTGCAGGGTCCCAAGTCTTTGGGCCTTTCTCGACTGCCTTCCCAGGCCACAAGCAGGGAGCTGGATGGGAAGTAGGGCCCATATGGGACCAAGGCGAGAACCTTAAACACTATGCTACTGCACCGGGCCGAGAGAGAATATAATGCCCAGCAGAAAGCATCTCTCAGCAGGTAAGTCTACCAGATTCATTCAGCTCTTCTCACCCCTGTAGAGGCTGGTCCCTTGATTCCTGCAAGGTCGCCCTGCCCTCCTGGACTAAACTGGCTGCGGCCAGGTCCCAATTCCAGGCTCCAGGGAAGAACAGCAGACTAAAAAAAGCAACGCTTTAAGCCAGAACTGCAAGCAAAAGAAGTATCCATCACCGGATAACAATGGAAGAACAATGTTCCTTATAACAATGGAAGCATCAAGTTTCTTTTTTCAAGGAATCCTCTCCGCATGGATTTATCTTGCATGACTTCATCATGCATGAGTTCATCCAGGCTCCTGTCCTTGCCAGTGCTTGGTGAGCTGGGGCAGGGGACCTGGAAGGAGTTCAGTGGCTAGGATAAGGAACTCACCTTAGTCCTAGAAGTAAAGTACCTAGTGCCGCTGTTCTTATCCTTTTGAACGATACCATCTTGCTATTCTTTTCCTTCTCGGGGACTGCCTCAATCTTTCCGAGCCTAGGGTTACAACTACCACAGCTTCCCAGGAGGTGCCGGGAGCCCAGCGCCTACGCCTCTGCGCTTCTCGCCCGAGCGCGCAGGGTAGCGGGATGCTTCCCGATCCTCCGCAACTCTCAGAAACTCAACTGCCTCGTCATAAGGAAGAGGGGAGGTCCGGGGTCCAATGAGGAGGCCGCAAGCGGAAGGGGCTGGCCCAAAGCGCTAGAAATACAGCCCAGGCCGGTCGTAGCGCCAGCTGCTCGCTTTCAGCGCACCCCCGGGTTTGCTGTGCGCCCAGTGGACTCACTCCGCCTGCCAGGCTCGTGCGGCATGGCCACTTCCAAGCGCTTTGAGACGCTCCTGCAGCTGCAGCAGCGGGAAGGAGAGCTATCCCAGGTGCTCGGGAACCTCACCAAACCGCCCAAGTGGTTCCACTCCGAATTCCTCAAGAGTCCGAAGGCAGTCCGCCTGGAGGCTTGGTTGGTGGAAGCGATCTTCGGTGAGTACGCGGGAGGAGGGAAGGGGGCAACCCAAGCGGCTTCCTTCGCCCTCTCCCACCCACAGCGCTGGGCCGCAGGCCCGTGCTCCATCCCACCCCCTACAGCCTCTGCTCTTTACCCTTCCACTCCCGAGATCCCAGGAGCCACCCCAGCTCCTCACTACCTCCCTGCTCCCCTCGCAGGCCCGGGTGGAGAACACATCCCGCATGTCGAGTGTGTGTCCAACACCCTCCTGCATGTGAACAAATGGGACCCCGAAGGTGACGCTGAGATCTTGATATGTGGACGACCTTATTATCAGAAGGACGTATCCAAGCTCATTATGAACTTGGCCGACTATCACCGCCAGCTCCGGCTGCAAAGTACGGGAATGGGCAGGGCTACGCAGAGCCAACCCCGGCTCCTAGGGAGGGATTGAGGTGCCTCTGGCTTCCGGGCTGCAGCTGGCCCGAGAGGTCTCTGCCAGAGATCTAAAAGGCCAAATTGAATTCCGTGTGCTGGGATTCCGGCCCCTCAGACCACAGGGCAACTAGCCCATGGGTGGAGAAGGGTGCTGGGGACACAGGTGCAGCCTCCCCACACGGCTCTCCTCCCAGGTTCCAAGAAGGCCGCAAGACCGCAGTCTCCTGTGGAAGTCCACGGGGTTGAGACTCCGCCATCTCCCACCCACGTTGGCGAGACCAGCATGCGACAGTCCCAGACCAAGGTCGATGAGGCTGGGACACAAGGGCCTCCCCAGTCTGGCAGCCGCTCGATTACCAGGTTATGAAGGCATCTGGAGCCAAGAACCTGAAGCTGGGGGAGAGGGAATGGGTGGTATTCCCAGTGTCACATGCTTGTGAACAAGCGTTCAAGGAGCTCTAATAAAAAGTTGCATTGCCCGAACCTCCATTAGTTGCACGTTCCTCCAGCAGCCAAGGTCTGCTTCCCGCCGCCCCTTCCCCACCAGGTGAAGCCTGTGAACTTCAGCCGCTCAGGGTTGTGGATTGAGGTCGGCTGTTTCCCTTGAGCCCTTTAACCCGCAGCATCTGACTTTGGGGACCTCATCATCTTTCCAGCTCGCTCAGCCAGCGCTTTCTGGAAAACTCCAAACCCAGCGAGGCTCCTCTTGGGATGCGAGCACCAAGTCCCTCCTGGGCGACTAGCAGAGTGCCCACCTGCTGATGCCACCTGGGGCCACTGATGAGAGGTGGAGGAGAAGGGGTACGGGGGCTCCTTACTCCGCAGCCCCGTTACCAATCCAGGTGCTTGGGCGATTAGAAGGATGAAAAATAATGAATGGGAGCTGCGATTCAATAATATCCCATGTAATGTCTGTTACATTTCCCCAAAATTCATTGCTAAAACAACTCAGGAAACTTAATTTTAAAAGCCGGAGGAAGGGTGGGAGTTGGAGTGACGGATTAAACCACAGCTGTGTTACTGGCGTTTAACATCAGTGACCCAAACTCAGCTCCTTAATGCATTCGGAAAGCAGGAGTTGTTGACCCAAGTGCGTGTGTCCGTCCCTGTTGTCTACGTGGGAGACGTGGAGTTGCTAACTGCTAACTCAGCCTTGGCTGTTGGGCGTTTGGGAATGAACAGGAGGGCAAAACGGTTCCTCCTCCTTCCCCTCTCAGGAGAAAGGGCAGGGGAGTGATAGAGTATGTCTCCCTGAAGATCCTCCCAACTTTGAATAAGCAGTGTTCTTAATAAGGAAATAAGGAAACTAAAGCCATAAAGTTGCATTTGCAATGCATTAAGTGATCATCACTGCATTAAAATAGCTGGTTTTAATTTTACTAGAAACAAAGGCAAAAGCCTCAGGGGGGTGATTGGTGTTTTTAAGGGCTTTCAGTGAGGCCGGCACCCCGCAGGAATGCTGGGGGGGCTTGCTCTTGTTTCCCTCTAGCCTAGTGCTCCTCCCACCGTGTCAGGCTATCTTCTGAGAGGAGGCCAGTGAGCATGTGCAGATCTGCATATTTGAACAGTACTTTGGGTGCATATGCAGATGGTCATGATTTTATGAAAACAAACGGATGCTACATACAATTCCTTGGTTGGAGAACAGAGTAAGCAAAGAATAAAGGTTCAATTTTAATAGTTTTAATGTAAAAATTTGTATGCAAATACATTTTTTTTAAAGATTTATTTTGGGGTCTGACGTGATAGCATACCAGATAGTCCTCACCTTGAATGCATCAAGATCCCATAAAGGCACTGGTTCTAATCCCGGTGGCCCCACTTCCCATCCAGCTCCCTGCTTGTGGCCCGGGAAAGTAGTGGAGAATGGCCCAAAGCCTTGGGACCCTGCACCCACATGGGAGACCCAGAAGATGCTATTGGATCCTGGCTTCGGATTGGTTCAGCTCTGACTCTGGCTGCTGCTTGGAGTGAATCATCAGACGAGAGATCTTCCTCTCTGCCTCTCCTCCTCTCTGTATGTCTGCTTTTCCAATAAAAATAAATAAATCATTAACTATTTTGCTTGAAAAAAACTAAAAGGAGAGACACATCTTCCATGTGCTGGTTCACTTCCCAAATGCTTAAAACAGCCAGAACTGGACTAACCGAAAGCCCCTTCCTGTTCTCCCATGGGTGCAGGGGTCCAAAGAGATGCACCATCCTCTGCTGTCTTCCAAGGCCATTAACTTGAAGCTAGATTGTAAGTGGAGCGGATAGGATGTTAACCTGCGCCCACAGGGGATGTCAGCACCACAGGCAGAGGATTAGTTTGCTAAGCCACTGTGTCAGCCTCACAAACACTTGTCAAACTTACAAGAAAGCACACACTTTTCTTCTCACCATGAAGTATGAAAGCTATTTTCAGGGCCTGGTGCACTAACCTAGTGGCTAAAGTCCTCGCCTTGCACCTGCTGGGACTCATATGGGTGCCAGTTCTAATTGCGTCAGCCCTGCTTCCCATCCAGCTCCCTGCTTGTGGCCTGGGAAAGCAGTGGAGGATGGCCCAAAGATTTGGGACCCTGCATCCACATGGGAGAACTGGAGGAGGCTCCTGGCTCCTGGCTTTGGATCAGCTCAGCTCCAGCCATTGCAGCCATTTGGGGAGTGAACCAGTGAATGGAAGATCTTTATGTCTCTCCTCCTCTGCAAATCTGCCTTTCCAAGAAAAATAACTCCTAAGAAAAATAAGCTGGTTGAGAGAAAAATCTGTTCATAGATGATTTCCAAAGATTTTGTTTTATTTTTTCTAATATTAGAGCTCACTATATACTTTGAACCACATATGCATTGTATTTACATGAAAGAATATATTTTGCCAGTTAAGGAGATATAATGGGTGTTTGGCCCTGAGCTAAATTGCTTCTTCGGGCACTCCCAGATGTCTGGGTTTAGACCCTACCTCTGGTTCCTGAGTCCATCTTCTTCCTAATGCCCACGCTGGGAAGCAGCAGTGATGACTCAAGTAATTGGGCCTCTCATATCCATACGGATACCTCGAGTAGCGTTCCTGATGCATAGGAAATAGGTATGCCCTTGCTCCCCTGCCCACACACACGCCCTAATGGACGGGGCAGGCATTTAGATGGGCGTGAAGAAGCCTGCTTCTCAGTATTCACGGTAAGCTCTAGCTTCTGACTCCAACCTCTTGTCAACGTAGGCCCAGGGAGGCACCTGTGTGGCTCAAGTAACTGCCCTCCTGCTTGCCTTGTGAGAAAGTGGTTCCTGCCTCTCAGCTTTGGTCCTGGCCCAGGCAAGCCCAGGTTGTTTTAGGCATTTCAGAAATGAATCAGTAGATGGGAATACTGTCCACCCCTTTTCCTGTGTCTTTGACTCTAATAATTTAAAAGAATTTATTTGAAAGAGAGAGATTGTCCATCCACTGGTCCACTACCTAGATGGCTGCAATGGCTAGGCTGGGCAAGGCTTGGTCCAAGCTTAAGCCAGAAACAAGGTGCTTCTTCCAGTTCTTCCACATGGGTGGCAGAGATACAAGCATTTGTGCCACGTTTCCCAGGCGGTTAGAAGGGATCTAAATGGGAAGCGGGGCAGACAAGACTTGAACCAGCCCATATATGTGGCATGCTAGCATCACATGTGACAGCCTAATGTGCTATGCCATGACACTGACCCCCATTTTTATCATTATTATTATTATTATTATTAAAGATGGGGAATTGTTGGTTATGTGGTCCTTATTATTTAGTTCTCAGCCTGCATGATTTCTATTTGGAAACAGAGGCCTGAAGAATTGGTCGATTTTGTTGTTCTGTTCAAGGCAAGGAAAATGCAAAAAGCAAGAGAACTGGCTGCTGCAAAAACTCAACAGGATACTGAATTGCAGAGCAAGGTGATGGCATGAGACAGGTCAGGCTGGTGGCAGGTAGGTGGGGGATCCCTTAGAGCAGCCTTGTACAGTAGAAATATGTAGGTCACATATGTAATTTTAAATTCTTTAGTAGCCACATTTTAAAGCATGAAGCAACAAGTAAGAATGCTTTTAATATACTTTAACCTAGCATAAACAAAATTTCAACACGTAGTTATATAAATAATGAGATGCTTTATAACACTAATGTTAAGTATAGGAACATATCTATTCAGATTAGCCACATTTCAGTTGCTTAGTAGCTGCAGGTGGCTTAGTGGCTACCATCACAGATAAAAAAGGTCTTCGATTTGGGGCAGATCTGAAATGGTAGAACTAAGAATGGAGGAACAAGCTCCTTCATCACCCATTTCGGGGGGTTCTAGAAAGAGCTCTGGAGACTAGCTGCCACCACCATGAAAGCCACAGGGTAGAAACAGTGCAATTCCTCTGAGTGGCTCAGGCCAAGTGACTCAGTTTTAGGGAGTTTCCTCCTGAATGACCTGGGTGTTGAAGTTCATCGTTTGGTCTATTGTGACAGCTGCAGTTAGGAGAGAGCTCTTGCCAAAATGAGCTAGCATACATGGGCTCCTTCTAAGCAACTTTTCTCCATCGACTTCATCTCTAAAAATCACCTGTTAGCCCCCAACTCCTCAGTCTTCAGGAATGACGTGAACTTGGAGGCCTTGTTAGAGGCTCATGAAGCTAAGAGTTGAGCTTTGCCAGATGTAACCCATCCAGTGGCCCACTCACTTGTCTTTCCTCATCTCATCAGAAACTGATGCCAGGATTTTTCCACTCACATATACCACACATGAAATCTACACTTGGAGCTTCACCTGTTGCTGTGGCAACCTTGGAAATGAAAACTCTATCATGCTAAAACTGTAGAGATCATCAACCCAAGCCTGAATAGCCCAGTCAGTCTTTGGTAAGAGGTGTCTCTTTGTAACTTCCGCTGTTAATAGGCCAGAAAGACAATAAACACTAAGGCCCAAGAGTCAAAGATTCTGAATATTTTCCATGTGTGTTTCACACCCTGACACTCAGCGCACCATCTTCCAAGGATACCCAATCGAATGTCCTAGTCATCTCTGTGCTCCGAATGATCCAGTTTGATCTCATCTGGTGCAAAATAAGAACTGGGACTCCTCTATTCTGGCCACTTCCTAGGGTCAAAGAGTGATTCGTTCAATTAACTCTTCAAATGCAAGAAGCTTACACAGATAGAATAGTCAATTTCATATTGTCAGGGAACAAAGACAACAACTACTTTAGTCTGGGAATGGTGACTCTGCATGTGTATGCATACAGGATGTACAAATCATTCTATTGTGATGGGGAAAAAAAGTCTTTTGAAGCTGGGGCCATCTTCCTAAATCCGTTTCCCAAATTCCAGAAACACAAAGCTTCAATAAGGAAAAAATAGCATGCCAAAATTCAGGAAATTTGTTTAAAAGTCAGCCAGATAGCAGTCAGAATTCATGATGGATTATACTATCTATAAGCTTTCACATTAAAAAAATGTTATTTATTGTGGACAGTTGCTTGACACATCCCATATTAGAGGGCCTGGTCTAGTCCCACTTCTCACCCAGCTTCCTGTTAATGTGCACCCCAGAGACAGCAATGGTGGTTCAATTACCTGAGTGGATATCCAGATGAAATTCCTGGATCAGGGCTTTGGCTGGCTGCTGCAAGAATCTGGGCAGTAAACCAGCTGGTTAATGATCTTCTTGCTCTCATTCTGAGACCAAGAGCCTGGAACCCTATGCATGTCTCCCATATAGGTAACAGGGACCCAAGTGTTTGCTCCACCATCTGCTGCCTTCCCAGGCAAATTAGCAAGAAGCTAGATCAAGAACAGAGCAGCCAAGACTCTGATACAGGCATTCCAAATGGTGACCTAACATGTTGAGCCACAATGCTTGCCCTAATGGTGCAGGTTTCATACTTTTTTAAAGGGGAGTATGTGCATTGAGTGAGATTTAAAGACAAATTGGTACCGTAGTTATAAGTCACCTTAAAATTAAATTTAAAAATCAAAGAAGGATATTTGGCAATAGCTACACATTTGATTACTAAAAGGGCACACTGTATTCCAATGTTTTCTATATGCAGGCAGAGACAAACTGTGGATCATTGCTTCTTCTGTGAAGGCCAGATGCAAAAAGCTATAGATTTCATATCCTTCTATTAACATGAAATGTCAAGAAAAGGCAACTGGAGACAGAAAGCAAATTGGCTGCCTAAGGCTGGTGGGGATAGTGGTGACGGACTACTGAAGAGCACAGGGAATGTCTACCATGGTGCTAGAGCTGTGGCACGGCTCACACATCTCTAGAAAATCATTGAAAGGTACATATTAGAATCTTTTTATTTGAAAGGGGTTGAAAAGGTGTTCTGTCTGTTGGTTCATTTTCCAAGTACATAGAGCAGTGAAGCCAGGGCCAGGCAGGAAGCAGCATTCAGGAATCAGGGTCTCCACTTGGGTAGCAGAGACTCAGCTGTCACAGCTGTCACCTGCTGCCTGCCAAGGTGCACATTACCAGGAAGCTGGATTCCAGGGCAACGCCAGAACTCTAACCCAGGCACTCCCATATGTGAGGAAGGCATCCAAGCAGCAGCATAATCAACCACTGTACCAAATGTCCAACATCAAAAACTTCAGGAGACATTCAATGGTCTTGTGAAATTCCCACCAGAAAAAAACAAAGTTGAAGGAATGTTTCTCAGGTTTCTACATCACAGAATGCAGCTGCTCCTAAGACTGATAGCAAAGAATGGGGGTGCAGAGACAACAGAGCAAAGCAATTGACTTAACCACATTAAGTAAAAGTCTTTCAGGTGTAAAAAGTTGAAAATGTAGAAAATATGACCACTTTTTTTCTTACAAAAATCTTAAAGACTTCAGAGTAGAAAAGAAATCTGGATAGAAATAAGAGCAGGAAATTGTAAACTAAAATAATATTCAACGTCATCAGTAATCAAAGTAATACAATTCAAAATGTGAGCATAGAATTCTTGCAAAGGGCTAGACCTCATTATTGCCACGGAGTTAAGAAACAGCATGAGTCAAATCAACTCCAACCCCCCATTTTGTTTGAAGCTCTTGGCACCCTCTGACCCAAGAATTCTGGTGCCTAAGAGTGGCATTGGTAAGGGTGGGAGCTCTTTTCTTACGATTTTTATTAGAAAGATTTACAGAGAGGAGGAGAGACAAAGATCTTCCATCTGCTGATTCACTCCTAAGTGGCTGCAACAGCTGGAGCTGATCTGATCTGAAGCTAGGAGCCAGGAGCCTCTGGTTCTGCCACATGAGTGCAGGGTTCTGTCCTTGACTGTTTTCCCAGGCCACAAGCAGCGAGCTGGGAAATGAGCTGGGAAGCTGGGAGGCACAAGAAGTGAACTGGCACATGCAAGGCGAGGACTTTAGCCACTAGGCTACCATGCCAGCCTCAGGGGTAGGAGCTCTTAAGTACAGATCCATCATTGCTGTGCAATGGGTAAGGAGAGCACCCCTACCTCCAAAAGGCACAGCCCCAATGCAAGGGACCCTCTGGTGGCCCAGGGGCTCAAACTCCTGGCTCTTCAGCGGGAAAATGAAGTACCAGAGCCCGGGCTGGTGTGTCGGAGTGAGGCTGCATGCTAAATGCACCTGTTGCTCTGAGGTCAAAGTCAGACTTCGGGGTAGTTTTAGCATTGATGCGTAAGCTTGTTAGAAGCGCAAATGAACAGATCCTACCCAGTACAGTGAATCAGAAACAGTGGACAAGGGACACAGCACTGTGATACAAGCTGATCTGTGTAATATCAGCAACGCTTTCAGAGTGCCACTTCCGGTCCCTACCAGCTTCTGGCTTAGCCTCAGCCATTTGGGGAATTAACCAGCAAATGAAAATTCTGTTTCTTTCACTTTCTGGTACTCAGTATCTCAAGTCAATCTTCCTTGGGTTTAGGGGCCTCCTGTGACACCAGAATTCCATTTGTGCTAGTTCACATCCCAGCTGCTCCATTTCCAATCTGGCTCCCTGCTAACGTGCAGAAGATGGCTGGCCTGAGTACTTGTACCTGTGCCACATACATGGGAGACCTGAATGTTCAAGCTCCTGGCTTCAGCCTAGCCCAGCTCCAGCCATTATTACCATTTGGTGATGAATGTGTGACTAGATCTTTGTTCTGCTCCATTCCTCCCTCTTTAGCTCTGCCATTCAAATAGAAGTAATCATAAGAGGGTTAGGAGTGGTTTTCTGTTTACGATTTATTTTTATCGGAAAGGCAGATCAGATTTATGGAGAGGAGAAATAAGATCTTGCATCTACTCTTTCACTCCCCAAATGACAATGGCCGGAGCTGAGCCACTCCAAAGCCAGGAGCTTCTCCAGGGTCTCCCACCTGCATGCAGGGTCCCAAGACTTTGGGCCATCCTCTCCTACTTTTCCAGGCCATAAACAGGGAGCTGGTTGGAAAGCATAGCAGCCAGAACACGAACCAGCAACTGCAAGGAGCCCAGCATTTGCAAGGTGAGTATTTAGCCATTGAGTCATTGCCCCGGACCCAGGAGTTCTGAGATAGTAGAAACTCAAGGGGGAAAACCACTATTTTGTCAGACTTCTACCCACTCACTTCAACGCATAAAGGAACACTCCATATTTGTAAATTTGCTTTATGCAAACAAAGATCTTTATGCCACTGGACAGGAAAAAAAAAACATTTGTTCAAATAACTGTATAATTACATTCACAAAAGTATCCATCAAGACACGTGGGGGCGGGGATGCAGACATTAGGGACACCTGCTTCTCTTCAACTTTAGCACCAGATGCTAGTCTTGTATAAGGAGCTTGTTGCAGGGGGGGCATCTGTCCCTGAAGAGCGAGTCTTCAGAAACTCCTCCAGCTGTTTCATCTTCTCAGCTGGAAGAGAAGTCAGTGGTATCAGCCAGAGCCCAGGGAAAATGTGCGCATTTCCCACCTGCTCTGCCTGTGAGGGGAGGGGTGCTGTGGTGCTAGGTAGCCTAGCTAAGGTTCACTTGGGTACTCTAAGCTTTAATGCCTTGCTTTCTCATGGGTGGGCGTCCCCTCCAGCAGGGATCCTTCCCCCCCTCCCCCCCAGGAAGTGTGTGTAAGGTTTGGAAGACGCAAGTTACAACTAAGGGAGGCTGGAAGCGAGCCAGGTAAAGCCAGAGGGGTCACTCAAGGTTTCCTCTGCAAGCAGGTTCTCCATGAGCCTCACCTCGCCCCGCGCGGTATTCCCGGAGCCAGGATGCCTGGCTCAGGAGGATGCTCTTCACCCGGTTCTGCACACGTGGCCGCCCGTAGATTGTGATCTCCGCTAAGCTCCCGGCATCTAGGGTGTCCACACTCAGCAGGACCTGGCTCATCCACTCCATTTCCGGAATCACAGCTCGGTCTTTCCCTGAACAGGAAAAAAAGACAGAAGAGTCACATGAGGTCGTATATCAGGAGGAGCTAGAATGTTTAAGATTTACTTCTTTTTATTGGGAAGGCAGATCAGATTTACGGAGGGGGAGAGACAGATCTTTTATCTGCTGGTTCACTCCCCAGGTGGCCTGAGCTGATTCCAAGTCATGAGTTTCTCCTGGTCTCCCACGGGAGGTGCAGGGTCCCAAGGCTTTGGGCTGTCCTCAACTGCTTTCCCGGCTAACAGCAGGGAGCGAGATGGGAAGTACAGCAACTGGGATTCGATCCGACATCCATAGGGGATCCTGGCACTTTAAGCCACATTTAGCCACTAGGCTATTGCACCAGGCCCAGAAGGAGCTAGCTTTGAAGGTAATGCTGGCCGGGGAACGAATTAGCCCTCAGCTGGACGCTGCAACCTACACAGCACACATGGGGTGGGCAGGGAGGGGTTGGGGGCTCACCAAAGATTGCATCCGCCAGCCAGGCCTCTACGTAGAACACCAAGGGGTCGTCCAGTTCCTGTACTGGAAACCACCACGGCCGGATGCGAAGGCGCGGGGGCGGCAGACAGGGAAGCCTAAGTAGGTCATCGCGGCAGAGACTCGGCTTCAGTTTGTCCTGCTGGACCTCAGCAACTCCCACGTCCGTGGCCATGGTCAGAAGAGCGCGATCTGAGCGGCTACAAGCTGCTCCAGCGCCTGTTGGAAGCTGCCTTTTACAGCCCAGGAGCGGTCCGCCCCTTCCGGCCGCAGCAGAGCCTGGAGGAACCTGCTAGGGGGTGAGTCTGCTCAGTGTGCTGACCAAGACCCCGGGCCCAGGCTTCTTCCCCCGGAATGAGTATTGGTTTGAGATGTCTTTCGTCTCAGACACTCTGGATCCAGCTCCTCCGCCTCTCTCTTGCCCTGGTTCCACACCTGGTTAACAAGGCCAGAGTGAATTCTCAACCTTGATCCTGAGTCTGTTTCAACAACTGCCTTACCTTCCAAAGACAGGTTAGGCCCAGGACAAGCTCAAGTCGGCAAGGTTTTCTCTAATGCTAGTTATCTTGTGACTTTGGAAGACTGCCATTTCAAAATCAGTGACATGTTTCTTTTTCTAAGAATTACTTATTTGAAAGATTGCACACAGTGAGTCCTACCCCCAGGGTCATTCACCAAATACCTGCAACACCTGTGGCCAGGTCAGGCTGAAGCCAGGAGCCAGGAATCCGTCAGGGCTTCACACATGGGTGCAGGGGCCCAATTACCAAGCCTGTCTTCTCTCTGCTTTGACAAGGAGCTGAATTGGAAATGGATCAGCTGGATTGGAACCAGCATTCATGGCATGCTGGTGGCACAGGCGGCAGTTTAATCTACTGTGAGACTACCCAGGCCACCACCTTTTACATTTTATTTCTTCTTTCTTTTTTTTATGGGTTGGGTGGAGAGGTTATTTATTTTTACTTGAAAAACAGTTACGGGGGGGGGGAGAGAAAGGAAAAGAGATCTTTCATCCACCAGCTCGCTCCCCAGGGCTGGGCCAGGCCAATGCCTGGAGCTTCTTCTAGGCTTCCCACATTGGTGTAGGGTCCCAAGGACTTGGGCCATTCTCCACCGCTTTCCCAGGTCACAAGCAGGGAGCTGGATGGGAAGTGAAGCATATGGGATCCCAGTGCATGGATCCAGGGATTTAGCCACTAGGCTATCACACTGGGCCCTGGCATCTAGATTTTAGGCTTTTTAAGAGGATCCAAGAGCTTCCTTTGGGTCTCCCACGTAGGCACAGTGTTCCAAGGTTTCAGGCCCTCCTTCACTGCTTTCCCAAGCCATAAATAGGGAGCTGGATCAGAGGTGGAACAGCCAGGTCACGAACTGTTGGTTCATATGGAATGCCAGCACATACAGGTGGAGGATTTGCCTGTTGAGACATTATGTCATCCCCTTTATCTAGATTTTATATCATATGTATGTATTCATAGAGAACCATGGTATGAGACAAGCTTTGAGATAAAAAATTAAAAAGGTTTTGAGAATTTTTTTAAAAAGATTTGTTTACTTTTATTGGAAATCAGATGCACACAGAGGGGAGGGGAGACAGAAAGGATGATCTGCTGATTCATTCTCCAGTGGCCGCAGCACTCAGAGCTGCAACTATCCAAAGCCAGGAGCCAGGAGCCTCTTCTGGGTATCCCACACAGGTGCAGGGTCCTAAGGCTTTGGGCTGTCCTCAGCTGCTTTCCCAGGCCACAAGCAGGGAGCTAGAAGGGAAGAGAAGCGGGGATGCCAGGATTAGAACTGGTGCCCATATGGGATCCTAGTGAGTGCAAGGTGAAGACTTTTAGCCTCTAGGCTACTGATCCAGACCCAGGCTTTGAGGATTAAAATATATACATATACATATACATATACATATACATATACATATACATATATTCATTTACATTTGAAAAACAGATTTACAAAGACAAAGACAAAAGTCTTCCATTCACTAGTTCACTCCCCAAATGGACTCAACAACTGGAACTGGGCTGCTCCAAAGCCAGGTACCTGGAGCTTCTTCCGGGTCTCCCTTGGGGATGCAGGGTCCCAAGGCTTTGGGCTGTCCTCTAACACTTTCCCAGGCCACAAGCAGGGAACTAGATGAGAAGTGAAGCAGTTGGAACACAAACATACCCCTGTGGAATGCTGGCACCACGGGACGGAGGATTATCTTGATATGGCACAGTGACAGTTCCTAGTATCCGTGTTTTCAAGATAAAAAGCACATGTGTGTGTATGTACATGATATTTACATGTGACATGAATATGAAAATGTTTCTCAAGAAAGAAAGCTGATGACCTGGAGAGGAAACTGCATCTTTGATTATCCTTTCTGCTGGTTCAATTCTGGTTGAAAAGCAGCTGTTCTTACTTCCATACATGCGTAGGCTAAGAGCCTCCAGTTCCCTTAGCCAGACCCCTCTATTAAACCTTCCACTGAAGACCATCATTTCCAAGTGCCTTTATGTTCCATAGGGGAAAAAATGTTCATGATAGCCAAAAAGAGACTTTTAAAACATTACACAGTTATTATCGTCCAAGTCCATCAGGAATAGAATTGGCGATCTCTCGCACTGACCTTGCTAGTCGGAGAGCTGCGGGAAGCGCTGACAGTAGGCTGAGAGCCTGGGGATTGAAACAGCTGACTTCACCCTCTTTGGCTTGCACATTGAGAAGGTCAGAGTACTCCACAGGGCAGTGAGGTGCGTTGATCCTTCAAAACTTTTGTTAAATGAAAAAAACTTGTCCCCCCCAAAAAATGTATTTATTTTTTTATTTGAAAGGCAGAGACCATCTTCCATCTTGTGACTCACTCCCCAAATGGTGGCAGTGTGACTGGGGGGCTGATAGGCAGTGTGGGTCAGGTCCTTGGGGAAATGAGAAAAGGGGGAGTCAATGAAACTTCCATATATTTTGATAATAGGATGGCTGAAGGATCCTACCATTATAATGATATAGGGGAAATCAGTGGGGCCATGGGGAGAGTGGAAGGGGAAATCTCTGGGCCTATGGCATTGTTTTTTTTGTTTTTCTGTTTGTTTGTTCGTTTGTTTGTTTTAAGATTTACTTATTTTGTCCCGGCGCCGTGGCAAAGCGGGTAAAGTCCTCGCCTTGAACGTGCCCCGCGATCCCATATGGGCGCCGGTTCTAATCCCGGCAGCCCAACTTCCCATCCAGCTTCCTGCTTGTGGCCTGGGAAGGCAGTCAAGGATGGCCCAAAGCTTTGGGACCCTGAACCTAGGTGGGAGACCCGGAAGAGGCTCCTAGTTCCTGGCTTTGGATCAGCGCAGCACTGGCTGTTGTGGTCACTTGGGGAGTAAAAAAAGATTTATTTATTTTTATTGGACAGTCAGATATACACAGAGGAGGAAAAGACAGAGAGGAAGATCTTCATCTGCTGATTCTCTCCCCATGTAGCTGTAACGACTGGAGCTAAACTAATCCAAAGCCAGGAGCAAGAAGCCTCTTCTAGGTCTCCCACAGTGGTGCAGGGTCCCAAAGCTTTGGGTTGTCCTCACCAGCTTTCCCAGGCCACAAGTAGGGAGCAAGATGGGAAGCGGAGGCTGCCGGGATTAGAACCAGTGCCCATATGGGATCCTGGCACGTTCAAGACAAGGACTTTAGCCACTAGGCTATCATGCTGGGCCCTAATATTTTTGTTTTTATTTTCATTTCTTCCAAATAGTTACTTTTCTCTTATCAAATCCTTCACTGACTCATAGATCACAAAGTAGCATCATTTTATCCAAGAAGCTTTTGTGTTTTCTTTTTCATTTCTTCACCTACACATTAGTTATTCAGTAACATGTCTGACTCCATGATGCTGTTTTTGTGTTAACTTCATTTCTTCTTCTTTTTTTAATTTTTTGGTACAATTTTGTACAGTCTGAGATCCCCCCTATATTCCCAAACCTAGACTAATTTTCCTCATATTGTTACAATAGTATAGTCCTTCATAACAAGTTATAATTCCATCAGTCTGATATTTAAGTGAGGCCTATGACATTGTATCATAAAAAATAAAATTTGAAGGACCTTTCTGTCTCTCTTCCTCTCTGTACATCTGACTTACCAATAAATAAATAAAAATTTTAAAATAAATAAGTAAAAGTGTACAAAATCCTTTTTCTGCCCAGAAGGTGCTTTTACAAGACACCCGTTGGGCTTTCTAGTTTTATCCCATTAATAGAAAGAAGAGATTACGAATCATACCTTTCGATGGGTTCTGTTTCATCATGAGGGAGCTAGACAGGATTACAATGCTGGCCTTCCCATGAGGTTTGCTGCCGCCCTCTTGTTAACTCTTGCTCTGCTCACCCACACTGTGCTTAAAAAACCACTTAGAACCCTTTTTCATGTTTTCCTCTCCAAACATCCCCTCGCCCCTCACTGCTGTGGCAGGAGATACCTGACTTTAATAAATCTTATTTTGGGGCCCAGCGCGGCGTGGCCTAGAGGCTAAAGTCTTCCCTTTGAATGCACCAGGATCTCATATGGGCCAATGATTCACTCCCCAAGTGAGTGCAACGGCCGATGCTATGCCTATCCGAAGCCAGGAGCCTCTTCCGGGTCTCCCACTCAGGTGCAGGGTCCCAAAGCTTTGGGCTGTCCTTGACTGCTTTCCTGGGCCACAGGCAGGGAGCTGGAAGGGAAGTGGGGCTGCCTGGATTAGAACCGGCACCCATATGGGATCCTGGGCGTGCAAGGCGAGGACCTTAACCACTTGCGCCACAGTGCCGGGCCCTATATCTGACTTTCTAATAAAAATAAAATAAATCTAAAACAAAAAAAAATAAACCTTACTTTGATCCCTGTGTTGTCCCTGTGGAAATTCTTTCATGTAAGGCAAGATCTGAGATTTTCCTTTTATGTTTCACTGAGAAAGCAGCGGCTGATGACCTGTGTGCTCCTGTTTCCCACATGGGAGATCGGAGGGAGCTCCATGCTCCTGGCTTTGTCCTGGCTCTTGTGGCCATTGAGAGTGAAGCAGCAGCTGAAAGATAGCTCGGTCTTGGCAATTCTGCCTTTAAACTCAATAAAATAAGAGAGCAATCTTCCGCTCCCTAGCCACAAGAGCCAGAACTAAACTGTTCTAAAGCCAGGACCTAGCAGCTTCTCCAGGCTCTCCCACATGGG